AGAAACTACTTCTGCAGCATAGGTTGCAGATCCTGCCCTTTTGTGTGTGTCCCCTTTCCCCCTGCTGAAGCACCCAATATGACCACCTCTTCTGCCTACCCCTCAGCCTGGCCCTGCTCCCATCTCCAAATAGTGCCCTCTAGTAATGGTTGAAAGCAGCTTGTTCACACCAAAGCAGGAAGTAAACAGAGCCCTGGGGGGCTACAGGCCATGCTGCACAAAACAGGCCCGATCTTCTGTAAAAGCAACTTATTATTTTGGCGGGTTTTTCAGAGTGCAGGGATAGGAGCAGAGCAATGGGCTACCTTTACACAAGAAGTTGATGTGTCAGGTGGGCCATTCTGTTCTTGTGTAGGTAGCTGTAAAATTGACGTAAATCCTTAATTTTCCCTTCTGCTCCTTAGTTGAAAGTAATAGAAAAACTCCTCTGTTAACATGTATTGGTACACTAGAATTTGCTTGATTAACATATAAAAAAGAAAAACTAAAACCGATGGATTATTTACTTATTGGCAGACTGGGTTCCTTCCGGGCACTGATAGGCTGGAACACCCCAATTAGATTTCAGCATAGGAAGGGATCTATGTAAGGCCAGAAGTACTGATTGCCTGCTTGTGCAGCAGGAACCTATCAATACAGCTTGACACAGACCCCCTACCCATTCCCAAACTTTTACTAGAAAGCCTCAACCTATTGGGATGGAGCTGGAACCTGCTTAAAGTGGACCTTAACCCGTATCTTTAAAATAACAGCAAACACAACTTTAGGAATGTTTAGTAAGGACAATCTACAAACACATACTTCTAGATAATTGTCGGCTTTGTATTCTTTACGTACCTTGTTTCTCTTCTTCTGGCAGTGGCCATGTTTACTAAGGGCAGATTACTAGCTCTCCTATTACTTCCTGGATTTTTGGCACATGTGACTAGGACATGTGACCATGCACATCATCTCCGGTTAAGAAAATGCCTTTCCCTGAGATTTCCCAGCGATGCTCTGCTGGTGACAAGGCAATCCCAGTGTGCATTCCTTTGGCAAACTGAAGTCATTTTGCCCTTTCAAAGGAGGAAGTGAACTCTCTGCAAGTATAAGAATTTCTGAATCACAGCATTTTAGCCCTGACATGTCCATGTTGTTATTATTAGGCATCATACATAGAGGGAAGCATTGGTAGAATTTGATTTTTGAGTGTAAAGGTCTGCTTTAAAGGGTAAGAATTTCAGCCGTGTTTCAGGTATCTGCTAAAGAAGGCAGAATTACCTAGTGTTACATCTAAGGTTTGGCTCCACTTTACTTCCATGTCATTGGACAGCTCCAGATCACAGTCATGATGTATAGGGCCAATCAGGAGTGGCTCCGTACCTTAGGATCGCTGTGAATTAATCACAACTATGACAAGTGTAAATACCATTAGTGTTACAAACAATCAACCTATTCACATCAGAAGAAGCCCCCCTTTTGTCCTTTGTGAATGGGCTGAATGTTTGTAAACTCAGGCAAGAAGAAGGATTGCTGTGGATCGAAGTTGAAGGAGGGTCTGAAAGTGCCACTAATCATTATGGGATTGTTTATTTACTGGCAGGATCAACAGGTAATGAAACAATGATACGCTTAGAACAAAAACTGCTGTCTTAAAGGAGACCTATGGGGTTAGGGATTTTCCCCATAGTTCTCCTTTGGGTAACGGGAGGACACAAACTAGCGTCCTCCCGTCACCCTAAGCTCAGTACCCTAAGCTCAGCTGTAGCTCGCGGTATACTGAGACGCCACAGCTGAAGCGGATCCCGACAATTATGTCTGGATCCGCCCAGCTGCGTGAGTGACAGCTGGCTCTGTCTATCTAGAGGCAGAGCCAGCTGTACCCGCTCCCTCCCCCGTCCGTGCCGCCAGTCAGCGCTGGCGGGGAGGGGGGAATCCAGCCCCTCC